TGGGCACCCCTGGTGAAATGACGCGGTTTGTTGTGAAACTAAGTGAAAATAATTGCCCACCGTCTACAGAGAAGCACATTTTAATATTTAACGTATTTATTTATATACAGCTAAGTTGGCCTATTAGCTATTCTGCTTCTAGACCAATTTATTTTGTTGTTAAAGAAAAATAACAGATACTTTACTTTGCAGCCAACAAGAGAAGATACACTGCACTGTACTGTGCATAACCAGAGCCTATGAGTACACAGAGTCACACACATCTACCATTTTTCATCAGAGTGTGGAAATGTGAGCAAAAACACTTGTTCAGTAAGCATACATGCTAAAATTAACATTAGCTATACTAGCTATCAAATTAACAAACATTCCCCCTAAACATGTCATAGAACACTTAAAATTTAGAATGGAGTTAGAAAAAGAAAAGGCAGAAAAAGGAAGCGATTTCTTTTATTTACATTAATTCGGCTTTATTTATTTATTTTACATTAACTGAAATAATGAAAACATATCTGACTCACATTATGCTTGTTGTGATTGTATTTAAATTGGAAATCTAATGATGGTAAAAAATAACTGCATGCGTCATTTGACTGAAGGTACTGAAACTCACAACCGTATCTGTAAAGCACTGAATTCATATGATGTAAACATTAAAGACTGAAGTGCCATTGATGTATCGGTGTCAAGCTGATATCAGCTGAAAATGCTGGATTAAATATTGGAGTAAAAAACAAAAAGAAAAGGCATAAATACAATCCAATTGTGTCCAAATCTAGTCTAAAAACAGTGCAGGATGAGTTATAGTGCTGCAAAAGGTAAAGCATAAAAAAGTAAAATGATGGTAACATCACAGCATCATGTAAGAACAGTAAAGGTGGGGTAGAAGAGTGTTTGAATAGGCTGCATATGGTATAAACGCATATCAGTATTATAGAAAATAATTTAAAGCTTAGTAGTTTTCAAAGACAATATTATCACAAACTCGGTAGTTACTCACGGTTTCAATATCAGTATCATAAAGGGAAAAACAGCATTGAGCCATTTTCAATTAAAGACTATGTTCAATTCTTCTTAAATGACACACTGAATAAGTATAAATGGAGTCTAGATGCAGGTGCAGCAGACTCTACATAGAAAAGGTGGATGGCACTGTTTCTCCTGCAGAGATGAGTCATGATCCATAAGACAAGCCCACCTAAGTCAGATGCAAGATTTTTTTTTGAAAATGAGAAAAAGAAAACTGACAACAAAGCCATCGTCACAAATGAGCTGAATCTGCTGTGGGTGCACCCAGTTTGTGACAAGGTTCGCTAACTGGGACATCAACACACCATTCTAACCATGAAGCCTTTCATCCAAAGGAACGAGCACTAATAGATCTCGCAGGACTGTCTAGACGTCTGTTGCTGAAATTTGCATGCGACGTTCAAAAAGTTGTCAAATGGTCCATTTAACTATCGGCTGAATCTCGCTGATCTGTCTGGAATGTGAGTTAATGTTGTTAGAGGTGTGCGATTAATGTGCTCAGTTCTAATTTACACGTGTGTTATTACACGCACCTGTGACACTTTATTGATCTGAGAGTCAATAAATTAGACCCAGACTGAGTGCTAGTCAGGTTAGCGCGCAAAGAGCTAACAGAGAGAGTGAACGAGCGAACATCAACTAACAGGCTCCTGTTCCAAATGAGCACCATTAATATTTTAGGAAGTGTGATATTCTGGGAGAAAATTGAAACTGCCTCCCACCTCCTGATTATGATAATTAACATGCTTCCCAATATAAATCATATTTTCATTCTTCAGTCCTTCGTTTGAGTCCTTATTACTTACATTTTGGTTAACAAACTAAAACTGAGTGTGGTCTGCATTGGAGGTGGACGACATGGCAAAAACGTCGTTATTTGTGTGGAGAATCATTCTCAGCACTGCAGTAAAACTGACATAGTGGTGGTGTGTTAGTGTGTGTTGCGCTGGTACGAGTGGATCAGACACAGCAGTGCTGCTGGAGTTTTTAAACACTGTGTCCACTCACTGTCCACTCTATTAGACACTCCTACCTTGTCAGTCCACCTTGTAGATGTAAAGTCAGAGACGATAGCTCATCTGCTGCTGTTTGTGTTGGTCATCCTCTAGTCCTTCATCAGTGGTCACAGGACGGTGCCCACAGGACACTATTCTCAGTCCAGCAGCGACACTGAGGTGTTTAAAAACTCCAGCAGCACTGCTGTGTCTGATCCGCTCAGACCAGCACAACACACACTAACACACCACCACCACGTCAGTGTTACTGCAGTGCTGAGAATGATCCACCACCCAAATAGTACCTGCTCTGTGAGGGTCTTGTGGGAGTCTTGTGAGAATTCTGACCATTGAAGAACAGGGTGAAAGGGTGCAGAGAACCAGATGGACTACAGTCTGTAACCGTAGAACTACAAAGTGCACCTATATGGTCAGTGGAGCTGATAAATGGACAGTGAGTGTCAGTACAATGAAGTGTAGTCAATGAAGAGGCTAGTTGGTCTACACTGTTTATCACAATTAGGGAAGTGAATTTTGGCAAATTCCTTTGAGCGATAATCAACCTTTATTAGTCAGTGATTAAAAGTTAACCAACACAGCTAAAATCACTGACATGATCCATGAAACACAGCATTGCATTTTATATAAACAAAGCTTTAAGCTTTATTAAATGAAAATGTATGTATGTATAAATGAAGATATGACAGTAATGCAACGTATTCTACTTACATTTACCACATATTATTAGCCGATGTTAACAAACATATATGGCCTGACCAGAACTAGTCTGAGGTCCATATGCATAGTATAAACAACAATCAACAAGAGGTCAGTGGTTTGTAGTTTTTAGGCTATTTTTTTAAAGGGACGAACAAATTAACTCCATAGGCTAACCATTAGCTAAGAAACACATTTTCAGGCTACAGCTTAAGGCTACACCAAAGCCTGTATAGGAAAGTCTGATCACTCAGCGGCCACTTTTGTAACACCGCCGGACAGTTATTTGCAGCCATACTGGACTAAGACCAAGACCAGACTCTTATCTTTTTGAACGGAGAGAGACCAAAATACTTAAACCTAATGGTCAAATTACCATTTCAAAAACATCTTTGAAATCATTGAGTGTCATGCCTCAGGCGGATTCGGACTGCATTTCCCAGAATGCATTGGGAGATCATGTGCATGAGCAACTTCCCTCGGACTCGGAGTCCAGAGCGGACTCCATTGCCCACAATCCCACGGGAGATCACGACTTTGGTCAATCGATCGTGCACCTATCAGCAATCCCCTGATTATTACTACCGTGCACCTGTGTTTGTTGTCATATGACTCATTTAGGCTAGTATTTAAGTCCGGGCTTCAGTCGTAGTCATTGCGAGGTATTGCTTCTTTCTGAACATACTGAGCGCTTATTGATCTGCCTGTTATGACCCATTCTTTGTTTTTCTGACCTTATCTTTTGCTTGTCCCTTTTTGTACCTTTGCGACCACGATTTCTGCTCACTCCCTTGGTTTTGGCTGCCTAGTGTTATGATCACTTCGGTGATTCTCTGGTGCTTTTTGATTACGACCCACGCTTGTTTTTTTACCACGCCTGTTGGCATTTTTCATCTGCGAGCGTCTGAATTCTGTCACATTGAGAAAATCTGACAAAAATGTCACGTATCGCATTAAACGGCTGGGCTGAATACGATCAGAGACATGAACCAACACGGTAATAACAAGGTCAGTTCTGATCTCAGCTTGACTTTAACTCATTTCATTCAATTCCTCATCTGTGAAAACATGACTGTCTATTGTAATTGAGTATCTCAATTAACCTTCTGTGTGATCAGAAACGTCCAAAAGGTCCAAAACTGTCACACGTTTTCCACATAGTCCCAGAGCTGAATTGAAGACACATGAGGCAATTTTTTTGGCAAATCCTGAACAATCAGGTCACATATTTCCAAACTATATGAATACCAAAAGAAGAGTATGTAATAAGTAGTAATAATGAGAGTTCGAATCATGCTGTGAACTTCAGTGCTGACTGAGCTCGTTGTAACCTATTTTTTTCCCTCAGCATTTCTCAAGATTCTCTTAAATAACACCAGATCTCACCCTCCCCCCCCTGCTGGCTTGGCTGACCTGAAAACATTAATTAAAAAACTGGGCTGAAACAGGATTTTCATGTAACAAGATGCTGCAGAAAAATAGAGAGACTGCTGCCATCTAGCTCATGTTCCTGGAATTACAACAGAAATGCTTATGCTAATATGGCCACATTGCTTGTTATGCTCAGTAATACAAACCTGATTGAGGTAGAAACTTACACAAAAAATGTAACGGCTCAAAATACAACACCCAAGTCAAACTGCCCTCCTACAACACAGGACTTCATCTGCAACAGACATGGCTGAACATATAAGACAGTCATGGGTAAAATGCTCCAATCCAGTCTTGCTGTGATTTAGACTAAGAGGCAGCGGCGACAGGCCTTCACTGATCATTCTGAAACATAATGATCTAACTTAAATCGTAAACTTTGCCTCGAGACTAAAGCTGGCAGAAATGTAGAACCTTAGGGAAAAGCACTCGTCACGGCTGGGTTTTAGGTTATCAGTTAAACCAATGACTGAATACAAACCACCAAAAACCCTGAAGCGTCTCCTTCTGACGGGGATTTCTGAGGCAAACTTTTGTTCATGTTATTTGTAAATCAGGAAGTAAATCAGGAAATCTCAGGATTTTACAACCACCTGCCTTGAGTGTCTACGTGTTTGTTTACGTCTAATCAAGCCATTTTACTGAAAAGCTCGGTTAAATGTTCTAAAGGTAAGTCCTATATTAATGACCGAAAGAGGTACTAGATCAAGGAACCACCAGTTTTCTGCTGAAAACATTTAAAAAACACAGCGAGTTTCACCAACTTTCCGAACTATCCACACCTTACCACAAGGCTAAACCAGGTAAACAGATAATGAGCTGACTTAC